ACACGCCATTGGATGAGAAAGCGGACATCTCACAGATTCTGATGCGTTGGCGGGTCCACGCTTTGTTTCCATCTTTTTTTGCGCTAGATTTTGAAGCTGCAGATTTTGTCTCTCTCCAACCAAATTTGACTGAACCAGCAGCAAAAGAAGATCCAAATTATGCTTCACATTTTGCTTTACATAAACATCATCATGAATTCCCTCTTGCTGTTTTGCTTCCACCACGATAAAATGACACTTCATGCACAGCTCTCTCTCTCTCTCCCTCTCAGGTATAGTTTCCCATCTAAAAATCTCTGTTTTCTGGTCTCATAGCTGCTGATTCTTGTCTGTGTACAATATTTACCATACTGCATGAAAAACTCTGTAGTGGGTCAGTTTAAGCAAAAGGTTTCCACTGAAATTGAGCCTTTACGATGTTAACCATGAACTAACCATGAACTGGTGAAGAGCCCTGAGAGCAAACATCTCCCAACACTTACATCACAAACGTGTGACTGGTCAGTAATGATGGTTCTGGAACAACACTGATAAGAAACAACATCAGCACAGTCCTATCAGATCATGTACTTATCACCATATGTGTAGCGAGTCATTCGTTAAGTCGTGTCTTGTTGTTGTGACATGTTTTCACAGTAAATATATCGCTCAGTACACTGACAGAATAAAAAATACTAGAAGTGGAATAATGCACAGGGTGGATGCTGTGTTTCATCAGTACAGAATTAGCAACATTTTTTTTCCCACAGGTCGTCTACAACATGAAGCTGAACGTCACACTAAGAACACTGAGGACCGCGACAGCCTGGTAAGAAGAAAGAAAACCTCTTCTTTTTTAACTTGTTTGTTTCTGTCAGGACAAAGCAGACATCAAGCTGTTTCTGTGGAGTCTGTAAATACACTAAGGTGGACTTAATCACTCAGAGTAAGCAGTGACATTAAATATGCATGTGGAATAATACAAGGACACAATAACTCTATTTATTCACATGTCATCTGTGTCACAGGTCCACTCTTTGTCATCCTGTCTGGAGATGGAGGGTTATGACCAGCTGCCCTTTGCTGTTTCTCAACTCGAGAGCTTTTACCATCAAGTCACACAAAGGCTGGAGGAGGAAAAGGAGAGAGTCAGTCAGCTCTTGGTAAGAAATGCTCTGTCACTCTCAGTTTTTGTCAGTATTTGTGTGTAATTTTTCACAGATAAAATGATGTCCAACCAGTCATGGCATATTGCTGCCCCTCCCTGAGCCTGGTTCTTCAGCAGATTTCTTCCTGTTATAAGGGAGTTTTTCCTTCCCGCTGTCACCAATGTGTTTGCTCATAGGTGGATCATCCAATCTGTCTGAGTTTTCTCTGGTTCTCTGTATTATTGTAAGGTCATGACCTTACATTATAAACTGCCTTGAGATAACTGTTTTTGTGATCTGGTGTGATAAAAATTAAATTTAACTGAAAACAGAATTCTAAGATAAAATACACGTTAGCTAGAGATGCCTGCAAAAAAGTCATCTGAACAATCATATATGAACGTCTTGATGCATTCTCAATCATCCAGGAAAATAAATCTCCAAAAGTTGATTCTGTTCATCTGGAC